TATAATTGCACTTAACACCCAGAGACCAGGACCAACACACATAACAATCCCCAAACACACCCCCACCCACGCAAAAAATTCCCCGCCCCTAAACCACCCAAGCATCCACATAACAGACCAAGCAGTGCTGTGCAATAGCTCACTAGTGGTGGCCCTTTAGTTCATTGTTGAGTGCAATGATAGCTCTGGGATAAAAGCTATTCAGAAGACATGAGGTCCTAGTTTTAATTGTTCTGTATCTTCTTCCAGAAGGCAGCAGTCTAAAGAGATTGTAAGCAGGATGGGAAGTCTCTGAGAATGTTATGCAACTTCCTCAAACAGCGAGATGCGAAGATGCTATCCAAGGCTGGTAGCTGGAACCTGTTGATATGCTGGGCAGTTTTAATGATTCTCTGTAGAGCTTTGAAGAAGAGACTGGACAACCAAATGTCTGGAATGGTATACCATTTAAAATAGGTGTCTGTCCAGTTTCTTCTTGAAAACTTCCAGTGACGAAGCCCCCACAATGGCTGTTCCACTGGTTAATCCTTCTGTCAAGAAATTTCTCCTTAGTTCTAGGCTGCTTCTCTCGACTTTTTCCCGTCCATTGCTTGTCTTGCCTTCAGGTGCTTTGGAAACTAAGTTGACCCCCCTCTTCTTTGTGGTAGCCCCTCAGATACTGGAATACTGTTATCATGTCACCCCTAGTCCCTGTTTCCCCTGGACCAGCCATACCCAGACTCTTACAGATAGTGATTTACAACCATTCATAGTTATGAATGACCCACCCAAGAAGTACTTACAACAAGGTTCCAAAGTTTTAAAAGCAACCCACCAGCAATCACACGACTGCATTTTGGGTGTTTGGCAATTGGCCCATATTTACAACAGTTTGCAGCATCCCATGGTCACATGACACTTTATAACCTTTTTCACTAGAGTCAGCATTTACTTCTGGTTTTCTGCAAAACCAGTCCATAACAAACAATTGGTTCTCTTAACAACTGCAGTGGTTGCTTTAGGACCACAGTGGTTACTGAAGAACACACAAACACATACACACACACTTGTAAAATTGAGTTGGGCATGTCAAAGACCTGCTTTGTAACTGTCATAACTTACAACCATAATGCACATACTATCTGTTAAGTTGAAGGCTACCTATAGTCTGTTCTACCTTGTTGGGTGACACAAGTTTAGAAATATGTATCTTGTCCTATTAAAATAATAGTAATTTACAGATAATGTAACAGCAGCTTTGTCAGTGTTGCTCACAGCAGGCGCAAGAAAAACCAATAAGAATTGGGACCATGGTATTGAATTACTATAGGGAAGCCAGCCATCTTTCTCCACCTGCTATTTTAATTAACAATGATTAATCAAACTTTCTGCTCTGACATTTTCCATCAAGGAAGGAGGCAGAATAAACAAAAACATGCTCCTTACAAAATAAAGGAACACTCTGGTGAATTGCAAAAAAGCACCTTTTATTCTTTCCATGCTGCAGAACACTTTGTCGCCTTCTAACAGACAACTATGCAATTTAATTGACAGTATGAAGGCTTTTTTTCTTTTTTAAAAGGTAAATACTAAAATGCAGTAGGTCACACCTTCCAATTCTGCCCCCAACTATTGACCAAGGAAGTGACTTGCCTTTCCTTTTTTGCTGGGTGAATATCTTTTTGTAGACATGGTCTGTAGCCATTGGGAAGAAAGGAGTGGCAAAATTTCCTCAGAGAAATGTTGATACCGATCAAGGAAATATTAGTGTGAGTGCGTTAGGTTGGGTTATAGGAAGAATCTGGCTGTCCTTTTTGTGACCAGATGCCTTCCTGCATGACAGGATAGCCTCCTAAATGTTATCATGGCATGAATCCCTAGCGCTGCATAAGGGAGTGAGCTCCGGTTACTTGCCCCAGCTTCTGCCAACTTAGCAAATCAAAAGCATGTAAAAATGCAAGTAGAAAAATAGGAACCACCTTTGGTGCGCCTGTTGGCAGGAGCTGGAGTGGATGACGGGAGCTCACCCTGTTACACAGCAGCAGTTGGATCTTGAACACTGGCTCGTCATGCATCCTTAATCACATGAGCCACCATACTCTTGATCATCACTTACAAACCCTACAAGTCCCAAAGGTGCTTTTTCAAAAAGCAACTGGATTTTGTTTTTACTTGAAGACATTTCGCTTCTTGTCAAAGAAGCTTCTTCGGTTCTGACTGAATGGTGCAGGATGGATTTATATTCCTTGCAGTCCTGTGATCATTAGCACTCTTTCTGAGGATCATGGAGGCCACCCTCAGTCACCTGAATAATGCAAATGGGTAGGTGGAGGCTTCTTGGAACTGCTGAAAGGACTGTTGTAAACAGGAGATAAGTGGGGTCATATCCTTTCCCCCCTGTTGAGAGTGGGCTGTTCTAATCTTAATATAATTGCCCTTTTTGACCTTTCAAACTAGTAGTCCTCTGTCCAGAATGTGGACTCTACTGTCTTCAAAAGTGACTTTTATCTTTCAAATGCAGATGGACTGCTGAACCTTGTCCTGATGTATTTCTTCTCCTATGTGCCATGCATTTGTGAAGTGGTTGTTGTTTCTCCAATGTACAGATCTGTACACATCTCACTGCATTGTGCTGCATATATCACATTGCCCAGTTTGTCTGGGTGTCTTATCCTGGGGTGGACAAGCTTCTGCCTTAGTGTGTTTTTGAGTTTCAAGTGTGTCTGTATATTGTGTTGGTTGTCACCAAGTTGGCACCCAGATAGGTTCAGGAGAGCCTGACCCGAAGAGAAGTGATTCATCCAATGCAGACATCCAGGCATGGGATACTCAAGAGTCCTTTTCTTCCCTTGGAAGATAACAACAGTCCCAGTTTCGTGTGTATCCCCTTGAGAAAATTAACTGCCCAACTCTGATTTACGCTGTTGTTTGGGAAGGATTATTATGGGTTTTAAGTGCAATTCTAGCGGAACTTCTATGGTGCTATATTTGATGTTTATAAGAATTTGTAAACTGCCTGGAGTCCATGTGGAATTGGTAGTACAGAAATGCCATAATATAATAAATAAACATTTTTAAATTAAATTATTGAATGTTGCTTTGATTAAATTACGCCCTGAAGGTCTCAATAGGCTTAAGAAAATGTCACTTTCTGTTGCTTGGTGGACGCGTCTTTTGCTTAATTTATTGTTTGTGCAGATTGACCATTCTTCCTTATCTGCTTCTGCAGCACTCTGCTGGTAGGACTCTGTGTATCTCCTCGCAACATTAAAGAATAAAAAGCAATTTCATTCTGCTTGTATCCCTCCGGTCCACGCTTGCACTCCAAATGTTCTTCCTATCTCAATGTGATAATGGAAGAGTTCTGTTACTACCATTTCATTGGCTTGCGAAACTGTTCTTTTTCTGATTTCAGATATTCATCATAGAGTTCTCTTAGATGCACCAACAATTCCTCCAGATTTTCTCCTGTCAGAGCAGAGAGTGGGATGACCCTCTGCTTCACTTGCTCCTTAAGGAGAAGCAAGTTGTTCTTGGACTCCGGAAGGTCAAGCTTATTTGCAACAATGGCATGAGGCGTCTTTGACAAGCCAACTTTATACTGTTCCAGTTCATACTTCAAGGCTTCCAAGTGAGCCCAGGGCTCAGCCACAGAAAGATCCAACACAAAGAGGAGAAAGCAGCAGCGTTCTATATGTCTCAGAAAGTCCAAGCCAAGACCCCGATCTTCATGGGCTCCTTTTATTATTCCAGGGATATCTACAACTGCAAAATAAAACAGCAAGAGATCAATAAAATTCTGGTTGTTGGAGAATGAAACAAAGAGGAAAATTGGCTGGGGGGAAAAATCAGTATCTGGATAGCTGGAGCAGAAGTTTTCCAAATTTTTCAGGCCATGGAATTTATTAAAAAGAAAAGAAAAGTCCCATAATCCTTCATCACGGCGCAAAATTGTAATGACAGAAAATTGGCTGTGTTGGCATGATTTTTTTTTTCCCGCCAGAGAAGCTCATCCAAGTTTTCCAGAACTCTAGGATTCCACGGAACACAGTTTGACATCCTAGAGGACTGTGGGGCAGCTGGATACCCTCATGTTCAAGACCCCTCGATTAGTTTATAGTTGGCATACAATGAGAGACATTCAAAACACTTTCAATTTTTGCAAGATCCAATCTGGGTCGGGGACCAGAGGTGCTGCCAAGCCCTCGCCTCTTAAGTACTCAATAAGCTGGTGGCGGAACAAGCAAACAACAGCCAAAGTCTTAATAGCCAGCTATCAAAACCCCAGTCGACATCCAAAAAGCCACATACAACAGGCACCATATAAATACCACACACAGAACAGCCCAAAGAACATACACTCTGCTAGAGAGAAGTTCCCTGAGCATGGGCTCCAGCATGAGTCTGAAGGCTCAAAAGACTGACCCAGATTGGATCCTGCAGTTTTATCCTTGGACACGTATATTAGCCTTCATCTGTAATTTTTTTTTTTTTTTACAGGAGCTTCATTTTTTTTTTCTTTTACATTTCTTTTTCTTATTTTCCAATCTTGGGTCATGAAAAAGGGTGATCTTCAGTTAAGCTTTCTCCCCCCCACCCCACAACTTAGAACAAACTTATGAAGTGATATCACTGTTGTTCTGACCGAGGCTTCCCAAGAGCATGAAGCAAACTCCTGGTCCCAGCAAAAAACCCTTTTATTAATTTACAGTAAATTCTGCTCATTCATAGCCAGCAAAGTCTTTCAAGGGAGGATTTACAGTCACAGACCTTATCTGGCGTGGAGAGCTGCCAGGCCAATATCTGTAAAACTTGACAAGGAGTTTCAGAGACTCATGAGGCAATTAATCAAACTAATTGTCTCCTGCAAACTTCACTCCGCTTTCGCTCCTCTTTTATTTCCTCTGGGAGGGGGCATTCATTGTCTGGCCTTACTCCCAAGTCAGCCTCTACTCTTTGGCTCTACAGCCTTACTCTGGCAACTCTGCGCATGCAGACACTGGGAACAAGCTCCAGCTGTTCGTCTGCCTCAGTGATGTCTGACTCTGAAGGCGCTGATAACTGGCATACGGCTGTCCCCCACTCTGCCTCTGACACAGAACCTTCATCAGAGTCTTCCCCAGACTCCAGGACTGGCCCATGTTCTTTCCCAACCTCCTCACTGTCCGAATCTGCTGCCAACTCTGCTGGCTGGCCACAACAGCTGTCACAAAATGCTTCATTCCCCCCCCCCCCCAGGAAATAATTCCGTGAAGGTCATTTCTTTTTTTAAAAAAAAGGAAATATGAAGACGTACCTGCAATCTGCTCGTAATCTTCGTAGTGAACAATGCCTACGTGGGGATTCAGGGTTGTGAATGGGTAAGGAGCCACAGCAGGTTTTGCTCTGGAGATTGCTCGCAAAAGGGACGATTTCCCAGCATTGGGGAATCCAATCTGGAATTAAGAGCCCAATTGGAAAGGGAGATAGATTTTACCTTCAACATTACATTTAATTCAACTGGCAAGGTAGAACACGAATTTAGCAACTTTCATATTTTTTTATTTTTTTTCAATAGATTTGATTTAATGATCTAATTAATCTAGGTCAGGGGTATGAAACTCAGGCCTGATGTGTCATGCGCTGCTCGCGGCCATGCCTGGTTTAGCAAAGGGAAAAAGTCATGATACATCACGTTACAGCGGCAACGTGATGGCGCAGGTGTCGGGCCTTTTCCGTTGGGCTTTCAGGCCTGCCACAATTATTGCTGTGGGAAACTGGGAGGGGGGGTTATATGGAGTGGAGTAGATATAACATTCCTTTCTCAGAGAGTCAAGGTCATCCTGCCCTGCACCTTAAGTGGATTGACTGAGAGTCATCTCCAGTTGGGACAGTGCTTGATTGGACGATGTGATGGACATGTGGGTGCTGGGCAGGGACTTGATCTTTCACTTGGGTGGGGAAAACCTGGAAACTTTCAGATTCGGGTTTTCCCAGATGGGCCGATATGACATCTCTAATAAAATGGAACTTTGAGGAAAATCAAGCCTCGGAGTCTTCTTTCGGGGTGTGACAGCAAGTTTGACACCTAGATGGACTAGATTAAATTCAGCCAAATAATATTTAAATAAATAAAAATTTAGAAGCTTCATCCCTTCAGCCATTTGTTTTACAGGCTGAAAAACATAATACAGATAGCCCTTGACTTGCAACCGTTCATTTAGTAAGCGTTCAAAATTACAACGGCACTGGAAAAAGTGACATGACCATTTTTCCCCCACATCCCCACAGTGACGTGATCCAAATTTGGGTGCTTGGCAACTGGCATGCATTGATGAAGGTTGCAGCGTCCTGGGATCACATGACATCATTTGCAACTTTCCCAGTCAGCTTCCGCAAAGTCAAATGGGAGAGGCCAGATTCACTTAACCATCACACGATTTACTTTGTTGTGATTCACTTAACGATTGTGGCAAAAATATCATAAAATGGGGCTCAACGCACTTAACATCTGCTTGCTCAGCAACATAAATTTTGGTCTCAGTTGTGGTTGTAAGTTGAGGACTACCTATAATGGCAAAAGAAGCCTTCTTTTGCCTTCCTACTCCCAAGTTATCTGGCTATTGTTAGTCTGATCGCCAATTATCTCTAAGCCAAGAATTTCAAAGCAATAATCAACAAACAGATACTATGAATTATGTGTCATCAGGTTCTTGTCAATTCTTAGTGACCACCTAAATTTTCCACATCTGTCCCTAGCTTGTTTTTCAATTTGGGGAAGGAGACACCTAATGATTCCAGTGATGGGACTTGAATAACTTAACAATTGGCTGGATAGGCGTGGCCAGTTGGTCATGTGACTGGGTGGGTGATGTCACTCATCACACCCAGCCCCACCTCTCGGAGACTCAGGATTCAGTAGGATTCAGACGATTGGGGCTAATCCCACCACTGGCTGGCCCCACCCCCGCCTGTTTTTTGACTGCTTTCAGTCCGTTTCCTGGTAAACTGCCCGGAAAACGAGCGGAGACGGGACCAGCCAGTGGTGGGAATTGCTGGTTTGTTGAATTGCGCAGAATCTTAACTACCGGTTCGCCCAAACCAGTGCAAACCGGCAGCAGCCCACCTCTGCAAGGAGTGCATTTTTTAAACCTGCATACATATCTCCCATCTTCCAACATTCCTGATTTAACATAAATTTTTGTTTTTTCAGAGTTAAGTATCATACTGACAAACAAACAAACACACTAACCATCCCTGCATGGCCCACAGTTTTGAGCTCCAAGTGAAGGGATCTTTCCTGACCCAGTTCTCCTGGAGTCGCAGTTGTCGGTGCTCGGTTGTCATTAGCCAGAAAGAAACGGTTGCCTTTGCCCCCGGCTCCACCATAGACTGCAACGTATTCTTCTCCGGGATGGTTGAGATCAGCTACAACCTTAGTGCCTTCCTTAATCACGGTACCAATAGGTACCTACAAAACAAAGGTAAATTTAAGTAAAATAGAGATTAAGAATTTACAATCCTTGGCTGTTTGCTCCTATCTGTGCGCAAACAGCTGCTCAGCAATCTTCCAAATGTAGGACATTAGAGATTCAGCTTTTATAAACTCAAAATTTTGGCCATCCAACAACAAGTATCAAAAACTTACCTTAATATAAAGGGGCTTGCCACCTGCTCCATAACAGTTTTTGCTTCCTCCCTTTTCCCCACTGAAGCCTCTATAAAATGGGTAGAGATAGGCCAAGGATTTCATTTGCCGATCCACTGTCAAAAATAAAATATTAAAATTTAACACGCTAATGATGAATTCTTTTTTTAAAAGGAAAAAAAAACCTGTGTTGATTAATTATGAGTCAACAAACTGTTTCCTGGATAGGAGCACATTACAAATGCCAAATCTTATATTTTTATTTTATACCAAATGCTGATTATACCATCTGTTTCTTACCTTCTGATATACCAGCTGTTCTTTTCCCTAAATGACAAAAGTGTTTAAATAAACTTTTGCAAATATAACTTTATGATTAGTATTTCAAAATACTAAAATTACTGCACTTAGGGAGACAAACTGCAATTCATATTTTTATTGTATTCATTAGTAATTTCAAGAACAGTATAATTAATGATCCCATTGTTTTAGCAGTTAAATTCTCAACATTCATTCTTGTGAGAATTAAACTAAAGTACATATGATGACATACTTTGATGTGTTCTTTTATTTTACCTCATTTATTTACATATTTATTAATATGTAGCGAGCTTATAGGCCATTCTAATCAGAACAGACTGAAAGCAGTTTCATTATTTGAATTACTGGATTTTTAAAATCTGGCCTCCTTTATATTTTATCTTGCATTTTGTAATTGTAATGATCTTGCTTTTAATTATTTGCTTAAAATACATATACACAGGCATGCGTGCAAATGGCAAGATGAACTAATTCTACTTTATTGTAAGGCTACATCAAGAGAAATGAATGGACAAATGAATAAATAAATAAAACAATTTTTACCTTGCCTTTATTATTTTTATAAGTAACCCAAGGCAGTGATCATACCTAATACTTTTTTCTCCTCCTACTTTACCCACAGTAACAACCCTGAAAGGTCAGTTGAACTGAGAGAGAATATAACTGGTTCAAATTCACCCAGCCGGATGACATAGGAATGTAAATAAAGCAAAATCTTCATAAGATTCTCTACCAAACAAGAAAATTCTGGGAACTGAGTGTTGGGTTTTACTAGCTGAATTTATAGCAAGGCAGGTATTCTGAAAGAAGCTCTTGGATTAGATGCTCTCACAAAATGGGAACAAAATAGATCAAAGCACTTATGTTCCATCTACTAAAGCATTTGTTTTGCACATTATAGCGCCTTTGGACAGTTTAATGTTTTATTACTATAAGGAAGTATCTTTGATTCAATACATTCAAAATGCATAAAATTGATGCCTGCCTGCACTCAAGATGCAGATGGAGGATTTGAAGGAGGCTGTGGGAGACAGAGGGCATGGAGAGTGCTGGTCCATAGAAGGGCTGACGGCCGGACATGATGAAAGGCTGATGACGACAATACACTTGAGAATGAGTGTTCTGAGTCCATTGACATGCATGGTGCTTAATGTTCCCCAATTTATTCCTCCTGTTAAATTTTCCCCTGAACCTAGCTTCGGGGTGGTTAAACCACTCATTCACAAACTGCAAAAAATATTTCCCCTTATTAATAAAACTGATAGGGCCATTAAAGGATCAAATTCTAAGATTTTGAGAAGCAACCCATTTGACTGTTGCTATTTTCTTTTTTTTTTCTTAGTAAAACAGTGTGTATGTGGGGGGGGGGGGGAATCTGTGTAAGGAAACGTTGCCAGAATAATAACCTCTTCTCTTTGGTTAGTCAGAGTAATAGGCATATTTCTTATGACTCATCCAGCTCCGTCTCCAAAAATTATTTTGATAATCAAAAGGAGTTTGGAAAGCCTTTTCAGGGCAGTAATCTATTTATTCAGGCTAGGAAGAAAGATATTTACTCTGCTCAGTTATGTGTTTTCTTTTTTCTCTCTTCTTGGCTTTCTTTTATAAAATTTGTCCACTTCTTTTGCCTCCCATTTTTCTCAGACCTATCTAGACTACTTTTGGCTCAAGTGAGAAATCTTTCATTAAGGGTGAAGGTAAGTAAGTCTTCCTTGAAGTCATTTCTCTCCCTCAATAGCCAAAATCACACAGGAGAACAGCAGAGAGCGTCAATCTTTTTTTTCTTATTACAGAGAGAAAATCCTTTGACCCTTTAAAGTCCAGAACCTTGGATTAGACTAGAAACATGGGAGGATAATGGGACTGATGGATTGTCAAATTTGCTCATGGCAAAAAGGATGTGGCTCAGGCTGATAAAAAAAAGTTTAAAGATTTCCCCTATCCAGTCATGATTGACAGAGTGCTTATCTCTGATTCTCAGTGAAGAGAGCCTTCGTTGTCTGAGAGATGCTTCCATCATCATGTGGCTAGCAGGAAAGTATAGACTGCAATAATCTTTCCCGCCGAAATGGTACCTATTACTCTACTTGCATTTGCATGCTTTCAAACTGCTAGGTTGGCAGGAGGTGAGGCAAGTAACAGGAGTCACCCTGTTGTGTGGTGCTCGGGTCTCAAGCTTTTCAGCTGGCAAGCACAGCATCTTTAAACACTGAGGCATTGCGCCACCCCTAGGCTGATAGAATAAGGCTGCAATCTTAAATAAACAGGTCGAATCCTTCAATAGGAAGAATTGCAAATTGTTATTATTATTAGTTTGGATTTATTAAATGGATTAAAATTATTTATTAAATGTGTTAAAATTAATCACATTTAAGGAAGAAAAAATTCAGGGATTCATAACTTGAAAGCACTGAAAATTCACTCAGTGTGGTCACTACAGCAAGGTGACTAAGAGCCAACAGTTAGGACAGCTACCAGATGGACTATTGCAGTTCTGCAACACTTTAGAAGTAACACTAGATCAGGACTGTCAAACTCCCGGCCTGGTTTAGCGAAGGGGGGGAAAGTCCCGATACATCACATGATGCTGCCATGGCGCTGTGAATTTGATACCCGTGCACTAGATCAAATGCATAGGAAATCCTTTTTCTCTTGCAAGAAAAACACTAATCAATTCTGTCATTCAAACTGAAATTGCTAAATTGGGACAGTTTAGCAGAGAATTCTTAAAACCGAAAAGGTCTGTAGAAGAGATAGTAACCTTCTTACCTTTAAATATAACATGCCCCCCATCTCCTCCATCTCCACCATTGGGACCTCCAAATTCTTTCCTAGGTTCACTGAGAAAACAGGCAATACCATCTCCTCCTTTCCCTCCTATCACACGAACCTTTCGGTGATCGACAAAATATCGAGTCTGTAATGGGGCAACATATTATTCAGAGATGCTAATCATTTGTGAAGTTTAAAGTTTCAAAAGCCTTCAGTTCTAAACCTACTCATTTATGTTCAATTCTCAAGGAAACATGTAGGACGACTTGTATTGAGGATTGATCTGATGAATACTGCGATTGATAAAAAATATTTAAAGTTGGGGGAGAAACCTACTATGGTGACCTGTAATCCAGAAATAGCTTGGTCTTTTTCCTGAATTCTATCAATTACTCAGTTAAGAATACAAACTGCTATCACCCTCCATTTTTCTGAATTCATGAGTACAGCTTGCTTTTGCTCCAACACAATGTCCCTAGCAACACCCCTCACAAAGGATGTGCACAGCCGCACTTGTGGTCATAAGTTGAGGACCATTTGTATATCCTTTCTCAAGTTTGCATAGCATCACCAAGTGGTGAAACTGAAAATTGCTGCAATATTCACTAGTACATTATTTAGACTCACAAAACATGCCTCTTTTGCATGCTTGCTGTTGCCAAAAGGATTTATAAAATCAACAATTTGAAATCTCTCACAAAAGCCAAAGTTCACAAAGAGACCTCTCTCCTGAGAAGATTTATTCAGTAACAATTAACATAACCTTGGGACTCAGAAGAGATGGCTACAGTTATAGTCAGACAGAGCCTAATAGCATGCTGCAGCATGCCTTTTAATAACATGTTGGAAAAAGGGCTACTACAGACTAACACACCTCTCCTACGATATTCCAAATGAAACAAACCAATGATACAATCTAGCTACAAGAAAATCAGCATTAATAAAACCTAAAATGAAAGTCTGATGCTGATTTTTTATATTTCATTTCTTTATATTTGAATTCAAAAGCCAGGATAATATAGAACACTATCAAAAAAATGTTAAGTGAATGATAGATGGATGAATTTAGGTCAGTCACCATTACCCTATTTATTATCCCTTGCTGCAAAATTGAAAGGGAGAACACAATGGAACATTGTGTTCCAGAGAAAAAAACAATAGGATGCAAATTAAACAAATATATACAATAACCATTTTCATTCAAAGGAAAACCCCAAATTCAGTGGATTATATAGGTGGACAATTGAAGCCTTAAGTCTGTCTATTCTATACAATTCTACACCTTAAACACAGGAGAACATTTGCGTGCAAGGGATATTGAAAACATGTGTCAGGATTCTCATCTAAATGCTTAAATCTTAATTATTTTTATTTTTCATAAATTTGTGCTTTGTGTAAGAGAAATAAGAGACTTTAAAAGTAGCTAAGAAAAATTTACAGATTACATATATGTAATTAATCTGAATATTTGTTTACTTTACCAGCTTCTTCTCAGATAGACTTCCTTTACAAGTTTTCCGCAATTTTGAACATTGTGTGTTTGTAGTGCTAAGGCTCCTGTGCCAGTTTTTAATCTGCTTTTGCAGTAAGCAACTGTGTATTTGGGAATAAACTGGCTTCCACTGATTTTCCAAACAAGCTCTGACCATTATTTGTAGCATACTGCCTAGAAGGAAAAGAAAACAGTAAGGGGCAGACAATAAGGTGGTAACTATGCCAAAGAGCATACATATTTTGTACCACATCTGGAACAAAAATGAGCTGCTAGCAAAATGAGTTGCATCCATTTTTTATTTTGAGTGGTTGTAAAAAGCATTAGAAAAAACTTTCCGAACAGCTTTCTCAAAAATATTAACATTATTGTTGTGGAACTTTACACAGAAAGATAAATCAGGCCTATTATATGTAAAATATGTATTAAAAAAAACCTTTTCCTCCAGCTCCAACAACTGTTTAGTATGAACTTTATGCCATGCATCCTTAAGTCTTGCAGAAAGTAGCAAAAGACTTGTTCCAATATTGTTAACCTACATGAGGAGGGGTCAGGCAACATACCAGTAAGCCCCAACTTAAAATATGAAGACAAATGGACAGGTTTAAAGTTTTTGTTGGTTCGAAAGTAGCAAGATTATCCCTCACTTTGTGGTGTGGTTAAGCAAACTCCTTTTCTTTTCTCTCATTAATGCATTGACTATTTCTGTTGGAAGGGCTCAAAGTTCCCCGGACAGAGATTATTTCAGCCATGTTTACATTCCTGCAAGGTACACCAGTGTTAGATCAATTCTTGAATACAGCTCGTCTGTCTGGAATCCGCACTGTATATCGGACATTAACACAATTGAGTGAGTCCAGAGGTATTTCACGAGAAGAGTCCTCCACTCCTCCACTCACAATAGAATCCCTTATGCCACCAGGCTCAAAATTTTGGGATTGGAGAACCTAGAACTACGCCGCCTATGATCTGGCCTCTAAACATTGTACACAAAATTGTCTGCTACAACATCCTGTCAATCACTACTTCAGCTTCAACTGCAATAATACACGAGCACACAACAGATACAAACTCAGGGTAAACCACTCCAAACTCAATTGCAGAAAATACGAATTCAGCAACAAAGTGGTCAATGCCTGGAATGCTCTACCTGACTCCGTTGTTACATCCTCTAACCCAGTGTTTCTCAACCTTGGCAACTTGAAGATGTATGGCCTTCAACCCCCAGAATCCCCCAGCCAGCGAATGCGGGCTGGGGAAT